ATTAAAAATTTTCAATCTATTGTTTGCACCCTATTCCTATTCACTAATTTCAAACCGTTAAATAAAAAATTTTACCAAACATATAGTTTGTAATGGTTTTTAAATAAATAAGTTTATCAAAATACTTATCCTTAGTAATTGAGTAAAACCATTAATTATTACCTTCAAATCTTTATACCAAATAGCCTTAAAACTATGCAAACGTCTAAAATTGAGGGACCAAAACTAACATTTAATCAAAAAAAAAAAAAAAAACTATTAGATAAAACAGGAGAGAGTTGATTGATATTTTGATATGGAGCAACAAGCATAAACCAACTATCTAAGAAGATCTTGTCCTGAAGCAAAGTCATCAAGGGTCGTAATGAAACGCCATCTTCATTATGGATAAAGTACTTGGATACAGGTGCTAAACCATATAGTCTCTGAGGATCACCATGATGATCATTAACAATAGCAGAGTAAGTGAGCACATTGTAGGTCGCTAGGAGCCAAAGGATGCGGTCCAACATCATGGGCGCATCGGGGTTCTGGGTGCCCAACTGGGTTGCTATCTCTTGTGGGGAGAGCTTGGCATCAGCTCCGGCTTTCGATATGATCTGGAAAATGTCCAGTTGAAGTGCAGCATGCAGAGTAATGGGCAGAGTGGCTGAGTTGACAAGCTGCATTTCGTATGAGGAAGCTTGTTCCTCGTGATCTTCCTGTATATTACTGGCATGGATTTGGCTTTTGGTTTCATTTGAAGAGGCCATTTAATTTGGGTGATCAAACTTCGAAGATATACAGTTGGATGTTCAAAGTGTATGATTAATTAGAGTGAATTTTTGCCAATATATAGGATAAGGTTGGATTAGGTAAATTAGCTATCAATATATTTCAACTTGAATGGAGAATGATATTGAAGGGATCCAAGGGAAATGGAATCGTCAGTCCATTTCAGCGATCAGGACCATATATGGATAGGCAAACGTTATAAGTAGTAGACTTTAATTTATGGGGTCATGCTTGGTTTGTCTAAATGATTATTTCTTAATCAAATTATAAAAATAAGATAAATTTAAGAAATTTTTGGTAAATTAAAGGATGAATGAGAAAACTCCAAGGGTTATATCAATTGGTAAACAATTGTAATTTTAAAAGTTTGATTCAAGTTTTAAAGCAATCATTTAAAAAAATTAATTTTTTTATAAATTTATTAGGTTAACATGGGAGTGCATTTTTAAAATTACTCGATGATAAATTAGTTTTGAAATATATAAAAATTAGTCTAAAATATCCTAATTATAAAAACACAAAAAAAAAAATGAATGAACAAGGAATATGCACTCATTTTATTTTTTTAAGATTATATATTCCTTTTTTTAAAAAAAATGTATTTTTAATTATTTGTTAATGTTAAAAGAAAATTAGACATTAAATTTTTTCATTATCAAATTTCAACATAAATTTCTTAATTTTAATTT